GAGGATCAGCCTTGGAGAAACCCAGATAGCCTGATGTCAATCATCTCGACTTTGATCGACTTAGCTGAACCACGTACGAGGAACGGGGCCCTGGTGAAGTTACATGTTAAACTGATGTAACCGGTTTACCTGGTGAAGATACCTGAACAGGTAAAGGAACGTATTTACCAGTTTGAAGTATAACGTTTACTTATTCCAGATATATAAACTATAAAAACGTGTGTAAAACTTGACAACAATGACTAATATTTATTGTACTTATTGAGCCAGAGGAAGGTTTTCATGGATACTTTAATCAGACGAGTGATGTCACTGCATAAACACATTAGGAACGAACCAATCACAGAGCTGATGAGCAGGTGTCATGGTAAATATTGACCTTTATTTACAGATAATCAAAGGGGAGGAGTCAACTACAAGTCCCAGAGAGCTTTGCTGTCAGAAAACCAATCGGAGAGCTCCAGTTTCAGGATGATCTTTTAAGAACTGACGGATAAATGCAGACATTTGAAGTGGTTGGCTGAGGATTGTGGGTAATGTAGTGTGTAAAGCTTCTCGACAGACCAAATTGAGGAGATTATTTAAACCTTCATTCATATGTTTGATATAATACATCATAAATATGATCCTAGTGAAGTTTATTGATTCATATACATGTTAGTTTGAAGGATCCTCACATATTTATATTATATTTATACTATAATATTTAGATTATATCAAATATCTTTTTCACTTATGAATCAAGTTGAATCTTCACTTTTATTTTCATGAATTATTTGTTGTGTTTTAAACGAGATATTGATCTCCAGAAGTTTATTAATCCAGAATGTTGACGATGACGTCATTCTTTTTTAACAAACAAACTGATCAGATACATTTTTACTGAAAGCAGCAAAACACCAAAAATACAGGAAACAAAACATCCTCTCGTCTCTCATCATCCTCTCCTCTCCTCCTCTCCTCTCCTCGTCTCGTCTCCTCTCTCCTCGTCTCCTCTCTCCTCTCTCGTCTCCTCCTCTCTCGTCTCCTCTCTCCTCTCTCCTCCTCTTGTCTCCTCTCTCCTCTCTCGTCTCCTCCTCTCCTCTCTTTTCTCTCCTCTCTCTCTCGTCTCCTCTCTCCTGTCTCCTCTCTCCTCTCTGTTTTGCCTTCCCTTGCTACTTCTCCAAACTGACTGCTCCCCTTCTGTCTCTGTCTTCTTACTTTTCCATGTTCCTATTTCATCTCGTCTCCTCTCGTCGTCTCGTCTCCTCTCTCGTCTCCTCTCCTCTCTCCTCCTCTCCTCTCTGTTTTGCCTTCCCTTGCTACTTCTCCAAACTGACTGCTCCCCTTCTGTCTCTGTCTTCTTACTTTTCCATGTTCCTTTTTCATCTCGTCTCCTCTCTCCTCTCGTCTCCTCTCCCATCCTCCTCTCCTCTTACTCCCTCATGTACTCTAGGATCTGATCAATTAGTATTTGGGAGTCATAGTTCGCGGTTCTTCTCCGGCGCCTACGACTCCCATGATGCAGTTCTTCGTCTCGTTTCATCCTCTGCAGCCCTGCAGCAGGGGGGTGGGGCTCCTCCTCCTCGAGCCGCTTCACTCTGAGCAGAGGGGGGTTGTTGCTAGGCGACGGAGGAGCGACGTCGAGGGAGCGGCGGCTCCTCCTGTGGGCGGAGCTAACGGGCTCAGCTCTCCTGTGGGCGGAGCTAACGGGCTCAGCTCTCCTGTGGGCGGAGCTAACGGGCTCAACTTTGATTGACAGGTCTCTCCTCACGCGGAGACCGTTTGGGCCGATGCTGGACAGTAACCTAGCAACCAGACGTCTGAGGAGATGAGAGAGACCATAATTATTCGAGGCCGAGCAACCGACAACACACAAAGTACACACATAGTACACACATTGTACATCGGGCGCATATTTGACAGACTTGCCATACTCGAAAACTCACCACATTGTCTGGTGAATATAGCCATCTGATATAGGTTGTTCTCTAGCGCCCCCTACAAGTCGGACCGGCGACGCCCCTCGGCCAGTATGTCCAATATACTTTGAATTTGACACACATGTCCAGCTCCGCTAGATCTACTTAAAAGCCTCTCAGACCCTAAACTCCGCCTACTTAGATTTTCCGCCATTTCAAATTTTGTAAAAAACACATTTTGACAAACTCCTCCTACACGCTTGGTCCGATTGCTACCAATTTTTTTCTGTGGATCATTATTGGATCTACTTCATCAATACGTATTAAAAGCTTTTTGATATCTCTTTGCGTTTACAAGATATGGACCAATAAACTTCTTAGGGGCGTGGCTTATATATCAATACACTTAACTTCTCAGCCATTTGTCCTAAAATCACCAAAGTTGCAGCATATGAGCACATCGCATCCTGTAACATACCCTGACATTTTCATTTCATCCAACCACAAGGGGGCGCTACAGCAGACCTGCGATGTTGTGGTTTTTTTGTCACTTTTTGCATTTTTCAGCCTTTGTACTTTAAAGAACTCCTCCTACAGAATTTATGGGATCAACCTCAAATTTAGTCAGGATTCTCGTCAGACCTTTGTGATGAAAAGTTATCAAATTCGTGAGTTTTCATGGAAGAACCTTGACGTGGCGTGGTGGCCATTTTGCCTCATTCGGCATGATTAATAAAGTTGTTATAACTCCAAGGTACATTATCCAATCTGCAAAAAATTACATATGCGTGATGCTACTTCAATTTTGAGCATACATCAATGCCAACATGTTCAATAACTCATAGCGCCACCTACTGGCTAAAGGAAATGTCACATTTTATACTTTTATTTACTCCTCCTAGCCAGTTGACCTGATCAGTCTCAAATTGAAGATGCTTCATTATGAACATTGGGAGTTTTCATTGAAAGATGTTGCCGTGGCAACGCATCATTCACCATGAAAAGGAAGCTGATGGTTTAGTGGGTTGGGATGCTCATAAACTCATGGAACTTTGTACATGTGTCATAGGTCATGGGAAGACATATTTTACATGGGATTTTGGCTTGGCCGATTTGAATTGTCTCCATAGCGCCCCCTAAACTTTTTCAAAAGAGCAGCGCTACGTTTCAGGTACATTTATGAAACTTGGCAGGCACATGTATCTTATGGAGACTCGGAAGTCGGCCATTTTGATTTTAGTGTAATTTTTCCACAGATTTTGGCCTATTTCTAGTCGCTATATTTTAACGAACTCCTCCTAGGGACTTTGTCAGATCCACTTCTAATTGTCTCAGTACAATGTCAAGATCGTTGTGATTAAAATGTATCAAAATCTTTGCGTTTGGCGGAATGGTTGAGCCTTAACAGGCAGCTACTTTACGTGATTCCCCATCAAAAAAGCTGATGTAACTCAGCTAGACTTCGTCCTAACGGTCTCAAACTTCTCATGCTTGATAACACTCATGGCCTGAGGATGTCTACAAGCTAATTTTCACTAATACAAAGGAAATATGCGTTTTGTGACAAACACCATCCGATTTATATTACTTTTACACGATGTGGTTTACATTTGATATAGAGCTACATAATGCATGTTTGCATTATGTTCTGTAGCGCCACACAGCGGATACAGGAAGCAGTGCACTATTTGCAAAGCACCATTTCCTGCGTCACACGGTCCACGCAGGAAGAAAACGTCGGACAACACGGCCGGAGTCCCGGGACCCCCGACATGCGGGAGGATGCGAGGGCCCGTTCATCGCTGCTCGCAGCTTTAATATTAATGTTATTATTATAGTATTAAACACGTCATGTGACAATAATAATAATTGGAAAAAAAGTATTTATGTATTTTAAATTTAAAAATATATTCTATTTTTATTGTATTTCTGTCATTATAGATATATGACCTCATAGAATCCTGGTCTCCTCTGATTGGTCCTGATGGAACTCGTCCAGCCTGTTGAGGTCTCGTTCTTTCCAGCAGAGTCTGAGCCAGCTGAGGCTCCATCCTATCAATCATAGGCCTCAGGTTATTATCATTAACTTTGATTACTGACAGTCATTGAGAGCCCCCCCACAAGGTATACCTGTCCAGCAGAGCCTGAGCCATCTGGGGCTCCAGCAGACCCCACCAGGCCGCCGGGGGGGGGGGGGCCCTCCCCATTTTCAGCCCCCCCGCTGTCTCATCGTAGTCTGGGGGGGCGAGGCCCTGGAAGTCCCCCGGTGGCCCCTGATCATCCTCCTCTTCCTCCACCACCTCCACGTCACCCGGGTCGACCATACCTGAGCTCTGAGCATCGTTCAGTAGGCGGAGCAGAACGGTCACATAGACTGTGAATCAATCAGACGATTAGTCATCAGCATATATGTATATATATATATACAGTTGTGTGAAAAAATGTTTGCCCCCTTCCTGATTTCTTATTTTTTTGCATGTTTGTCACACTTAAATGTTTCAGATCATCAAACAAATTTAAATATTAGACAAAGATAACACAAGTAAATACAAAAATGCAGTTTTTAAATGAAGGTTTTTATTATTAAGGGGAAAAAAAATCCAAACCTACATGGCCAAATTTGTTTGATCTGAAACATTTAAGTGTGACAAACATGCAAAGAAATCAGGAAGGGGCAAATACTTTTTCACACAATTGTATGTATATATGTATGTATGTGTGTATGTATGTGTATATATATGTATGTGTATATGTGTATATATGTATATGTGTATATATGTGTATGTATATATGTATATATATGTGTATGTATATATATGTGTATGTATATGTATATATATATAT